TGGTGTGCTGTGCGGGAGCGGGGCCGAGCTGCCCGGTGGCGGGGGGGCTTTTTGGGAGGGATGGAGCCTGTGAAGGACTGCTGCTGCACTTGTTAGTGCTGAGGGAGCTGGAGCATCCCAGCAGGGAAACGGGAGATATTAAGCTTTGCCGGTAGTGCTGCACCTTGAGCAAAATCCGTGCCTGCCCTCATTTAAAAATTCCTTTGTAATTGTGGGTTTGGCAAGAGGCTAATCTGTTTACACAGGCAGACAGGCAAGAATGTGCTTCCTGGGAGTGCTAACAGCAGCTCCACCGCTGGGAAAAGCTAAGGTCCCGCTCCTGGGTGCGCAGTCGGGAGACTCCAGAAAAGCAGTTTTTCTCATAGAAATCGAAGCCATCCCTCCTCTTCCCATCTTCTCCTTAGTTTAACGGGCGAGGGGGGAAATCATAAATTCTGCGCTGCTAAATGTCTTCGTAAAGTGTCAGTCTTGAACTCGCCCACCTCTTCTGGGTGTTCAGAAAAATCAAACCTCTGCCCGCGCGGACCAGAACCAAAGGGAGTCGCTGCTGACGGGCTGTGGCTGGGTACGTCCCCCGCTCTCCAGCAGCTTCTAGTAAGGAGTCTCCAAAATGAGAAGCCCATATACTGGTGGACGGGGGGAAAACCAGTATAAACCACTAGTCTCCAAACTTTTTCGATCATGCACCCCATCAGTAAAAAAATTTTTAGCATGCGCGCCCAATATATGTATATTTATTTATGAATTATATACATGTATTACTATACCGATAGATACATTATAAAACATACAGAAAAAAGAAATTAAATTTATGAATTATATACATGTATTACTATACCGATAGATACATTATAAAACATACAGAAAAATAGAAATTAAAAAAAGGATGAGATAAGGATGACACAAACACTACTTTCAAAATATATATCTATTTTTTTGCTTTACTTATTAGTGGTGCAGAAAGTATTTTCTTCCCACAGCCCGATGGGTTGCCTTGCGCACCCACTTTGGAGACCGCTGGAATAAGCCGCTGGTTGGGAGCAAGAGCTGGTTATCTGGGTCCCGCCTGAAAACTACAGGGACCGTGTTAGTGCGCTGGGGCTAAGCGGGAGGGTAATAAAATTCAGAAAACTTTCATCAGGTTTGTAAATAGAGGGCGTCTGCGTCCCGGCCGGGAACTGCTGGAGTCAGCTGGGTAAATCCGAGCAAAGCATTTGTTAGGGGAATGTTAATGTTTGGTTTAAATGTCTTCAACTGGAACAGAGAAACACGTGAACAGCTTTTGAATTTCACTCCTTAATCGCACGTGGAGGGGGTATTGAGATGTCAGGGCTTTTTTCTTCTAATATGACGTGGACAAACAGTGAGGCGGGAAGGGGAGGTGCACAGAGGTGATGGGATTTCTGAGCGTCGGTGCTGGCAGCAACCCCCAGCTCTTTCGTGTCGATGCAGTTACTGTTAGGCCAAAACATGCCTTTGTGTGCAACGTTATCATCTAAAAATCTTGATGTTGTGAAATATTGACACCTAATGGTATTTTACATATTAGACATCTGTGAACGACTTTGCGTATGTCCATGGCTATCTTCATGTCATGGATGAGGGAATAAATGTAAGTGGAAATTTGGATTAGGAGTGTGCAAAATGGCTCTGGGAGTTGCCTAAAACCAAATGTGTTGTGAATCTATTGCCTGGAAGCTGTAAACAGCTAGAGTTCAGCCATACTGGAGTAATGCATTTACCAGAAAGTCATTAAATATTTCTGTTGCGAAAAAGTCTCCTCCTTCCTGCCTAACTATATAAATGAAGTTCTCATAAATAATTCATTTTATACTGTGACCAAGCATGGTAGTAGTCAACTGTCATGACTCGGTGAAAAAAGATATAATCTTGAGAAGCGGACGTTTCTGTCTGTGATTAACTCTAGCTTTTGCAGGGCATTTCACGGTCAGAATACAAATTCTGCTGCCTCCTGAGCGACGCCGGGAGAGCAGCGTGGGGAGACTTGTTATATTGCTTTTTATCTGGCTGCTCTCATACAGACAGCTTTTGTTAGGGGTTAGCTCTTGTCTCCTTTCCCCGCCTTGCGGTCGACAACAATCGAGTTCTCAAAACACCTTATTTGCCTCTGTTAATAAATTAGGTTTTAACTATGCGCTTGCCTCGGGCGCTTAACTACAAGCTGGATTTCAGAGGCTTGGGCAACAAATTTCTGCTTGACGGATTCTTGCCCGGCGGTGCCTACCTCTCGCCCCGGTCGGCAGAAATCATGGCACCGCGTCCCGCAGCTCTGCGCCTTTCTCCCCGGGAGCCTGTGTTCCTGGACTGGGTGCTTGCCTCTGACAAAAGACAGCATCTTCCCATTCATGCAAAGCAAGCAAGCGATAATCCTACTGATACGATGAAATTACTTGTAGGATTATGGGAGGGGAAGGGTTTGTACGAAGGCAGCTGACTGCGATACCGTCCCTGAGATGGAGTTGTGCATGTGCCTTTTCCACTGAGGTCGTTGGCAGAGTGCCCTTAAAACGTGAAAGCAGGTGAGGGGAAGAATCTTATTTGTTCAGGGGGAAAATATGAGTCAACAGATGTATTCTCACGGACGAGGCTAAGGATGGCTTCACAGATTGTCGCGTTTTGTTTAGCGCAAGCTTTGGGTTGTCACTGTGGGTGGGCAGTGCCATCGCTGCGAATTCAGGGCATTCCTCTGCTGCTGCGCGCTCACAAATGCAGATACTGGTCTTTTATCATCACCCGAGAATATCTGTTTTACCTGCCAGGTCTCACAAACTTTTAAACGTGATCTCTTTGCAGGACGTGATCGGTGGAGCACTGATTTCGGCTGTGCTGCTCATGCTCTTGTATCCTGCGTGGGACATGATAGATCACTTGCTGTTAACTAGTCCCTTCTGTCCACTGCTTTCCATAGTTGTGCCTCTTGTCTTATGTTACAACTACCCCAAACTAGACTATTACAGCCCTACCAGGGGAGACACCACTACTATCTTAGGAGCAGGAGCTGGAGCAACTGTGGGATTTTGGTTAAATAACCAGTATGCGGCGCCAGCCTACACCGGCGAAAATTTGCAGCTTGGAATTCCTCTGATTACCAGTAAAATAGTGGTGGTCGTGTTAGCCAGGTTCTTCGTAGGGATCTTTGTTGTTCTACTGACGCGCCAGCTCATGAAGAGTGTGGTCCTTGGCATGCTGGGTTATCGGTACAAGTTTCCCATTGGCGACCTGGAAGCCCGAAGACGACTGGAAGTCGAAGTGCCGTACAAATTTATAACGTACTCCTCAGTTGGCTTCAGCGCTACCGTGATTGTGCCGCTGCTGCACAAGCTGTTAGGATTGATGTGAGCGCAGCGCCTTCCTTACAAAGTAATGTATGGCACCACAATTTCAGAGATGCGATGAGTTGATCAAGGTGGTAACTTGACCAAAAAGTGTTTTGTGCCTTTCTGCACTGGCCTAAAATACCTGATTCATGGGAATCGCTGTACACGAATAACTTCGGGTTAGAAATCACTGACCCCACCGTGTCCCGTAATTAGAGACCCCTGGCCCAGACGACTAAAGATGACAAGCACAGAGTACAAAGCCAAAATCCCTGCCAGAGCAGCAGCAGCGGCTGGTTTGCCGTGGGGTCGGGGGTGCTGGGAAGCGTGGCTGGGCCTGTGGGATGCCGGACCCGTGGGCTGCGAAACTGCCTGCCTGGCTGCGGGGTTGCTCCTGCTGAAGAAGGAGAGCAAGCCAAGGAAAGGCTCGCATTTAGGGCATGGGGAGTGAGCGGCTGGTGGGGTGGGGGAAGAGGCAACCAGCCAAGAGCTAAGTGCCGTCCTTGGGGCGTGCAGAGCTCTGTCTGTGCCCCGCTATCCCCTGAAGACCGGGGGCGAAGGAAGAGTGGCTGAAGATGGGAAGGTGATGTGGAGATGGAGGAGGTGGAGGCTTTTCAAGCGCTGGCACCTTCCTGCTGTCGGGCTTCAGTGGGAGCGTCCTGCTGGCCAAGATGGGAGGTTTCTTCAGCAACCAGCGTTGGCAGAGATCAGAGGCGGCCACGCTTGGGTACGGCTGTGCATTTCCCTAAAGAAATCTGATGATTATTGTACTTGTCGCTTGTCATAGTGTCTTCTGACGGCACTGCCAGACCTGGCTAACTCTGTGTGTGTGGTTTTATCCACTGCAATCCTTTAAAAAAACCAACAACAAAGTAAAACAGAAGAAAGAAAAATCCAACACAAAATATTTTAAGTGATTTATAACAAATAAATCTTGAATAGTAATAAGAAAGCCTCCGCTAAAGGATCCTTTACCTACATACAACCGAGCAGAGTTGTTACCGCAATGTTGAGGCTTGTGTTCAAACTGTTTAACTCTGATTTAGCTTCCCTGTCTAGGAGATGGGACAAAGCCCTTCCTATCGTGCAGGGGCTCAGTGACAAGTAGTGTCCTTAAACCGCGTTGTGGAAGGAGCCGAGTGGTGACTCCGGTGACTACAATGTGTGGCGATGATAAGATGCCATCCTTTTCTGGTGCTGCACAGCATTACGGTTGGTCTTCCGTGCATCTTGCAATACCGTGTATACACTTGTAGAATAGCGGTTGAGGAGTGTTCATAGGAGGGTCGTCGCTATAACTCAGGCTGCTTATTTAAGAAAAAAAATACATATATCTGCTGTTGGACCAATGAGCTGTTGAGAAATACAGCGGTGATTGTGGTCTGCTTGGCTGGAAAAATGTAACACACTATTCACGCGGAGCTTCAAGCACGGCCCCTGTGCCTTTCCCTGGCAGAATATACATAAAAACCAGCTTTTTAACCATGCACGCTTGTCTTCCTGGCTGCAAGAAAAATTAACCTGAAGTATGTAAAGGAGGCGCTTTGCCATCAGTTTGACCGCTTGGATAAAAATAATCAAGATACAAAACTCCCAGCTATGTTTTTTTTTATGAGGAGTGGGAGACGTGCACGTGAGAGAGCCGTGCGATTTTAAAGCCAGGTTGGCAGTCTCCGGAAGAAATGCAGGCAGAAATTTTGACCATTTTTAGATTTGCCCAGGCTGTGGCTAAACTGTTGTAAATCAGGCTGTGTGGACTTGACGCGTGCACGCAAGCAGCTTCAACGAGTCTTTCAGCAGGGCACGTGCCCGCTCACACGTGCCCGTTGGTGAGCGCTGGACTCGGGCCACCAAGGCCACGGCGTCCCGTCCTCGGTCTCCCTCCCTCCCTCCCACACGCCGCAGAAGCGCTGCCATCAGGCCTTAAAACGCCTTTAAACACCTTCTGCTAAGGCGGCTGCTTTATGACGTACAGCTGCAGGGCCGAGCTGAAGCCCTGTGGAGGGACCACGTCACGCTGGACGGGACCAAAATTGGGAAAAAAAACTTGACAGCGAGCCGAGTGTTGAACCCGTGGGGTGAAATCAGTTGGTCCCAAGAAAGGCACGGTTTGGCTGGGACGTTCATGCAGTTTTATCTGTAAAATTTCTGTTCTGAATCACAGCTATTTTATGCTATGAGAATTTTATAAATTATATACAAACGCTTGGATTTATAAAGTAAGCGCACAGGTATTTTTATCTTTTATAGCATTCACCTGCATGTGATTCATGCAATACATGCAAAGTGTACTTGGTTCAAATTTTAAAATATACCTATTTTGCAAAATTTGGTGTTTCTCTGTTCATTTTGTGTCCTCCGTTGCTACTTGTGAATGATTGATGCGAGGGGAATGAGTTGCCGTTTCCAAAGCCTCCCAAATGCAACCACCCACCTCTTCCCAAGCTGGCCCGCTTGCGTCCCCTCGTCCCCTGCTCAGTCTAGCTGCAAGTTCGGCTCCTCCAGGCTCAGCAGCAACAGCCTGGGGTTTTTTTAACCATAAAAAAAGACTACTGGTCTACTCACAACTATTTGTTATGTCCTTTGCAAGTGGAAACACGCGAGTTGCCGTGTTGTCAGTGATGAGGGACACTTGGGCATCTGGAATCTTCTTCACCTGCAATATCTACCTCTAAAAGACTAAAGAGTTAATTGGAAGCCAAATTTGAATTTAAATGAATATATGCAGTTATAGCGTGAAGTCCCATAAACTGCAGAATATTTCATGTTCACTGAGGAGCCTAACAAGGTTTTGTTGTCAAGGATGTGTATTTGAAACCGAGTAGGGCCGTGTCCTGCCCTCAGCATCACGTCCTGGCTGGAAGTGGCGTGCCCAGGGACCCCCGAGTGCCCATAGCTGATTGGGGCGAGCTCCGATTGCTGCAGCATCTCTGGGCTGGCTGGGAGCAGGCAAGGCTTTCAGCTGGGCTTCGTGCTCAGGCTGTGCTCGTGGGACGCTCACAGCACTGCAGCCTGGGACCGCGGGGCCAGGCTTGAAGAGGCAAGTCCTCTGCCAAGGTAAGACGCGCCACCCTTTCTGTATTTCACTAACCTGAAGCACCAGGTCCTCGCTACGATCCGGTGTGTGTCTCCGCTGTCTTTGGACGTGCTCCCCACCTTTTCATCCCCGCAGTTCGGGTGCCTCTGCACCTCCAGCGTGATGGTAGAAAATGAGGTTTTGCGGCTGGTTTGCTGGTCGTGTTCTGTACTCAGTACCACGAAGGCATCAGCTGAATCCTCTTGAGTAGGCGTGCTTGGTTTTTAGAGTCAAACACTGCTCTTGATGCGAATGGGGTAGGAGATAACTTCCAGATACGGAGCATCAGCCTTGGAGCCTGGGCTGTTGACTTCTCCTCAGTACTGTCCCGTACCTCCTGGTCCAGCGCTACAGCTGGACGTGTCCCGCGTCCTTCTTCAGCTGGAGGAGTGGTACCAAGACAATCTTTTGCTAAATTTCCTTCATTACACCGTCAAGAGGGATGTAGCAGGCCTCTCACCCTTAGCTTAGTCCACTCTGTGTCCACTCCTTGAGGCTGCCTCCTCCTGACGTGCTGGTTTTCCAGGCGCGTGGTGCCGATCCGGGCTTCCTCCTGTCGCAGGGCATCTCTGCATGCACCGGTCCCCCGGCGCAGGACCAGCTACGCAGCAGCCAGATGTTATGGCACCCCTCGGCAGGGATTAAAAACCAAACCAGCAAGCACTGAATTTGCCCGGTTTAATTTTCTAGCAGTAACTTTGTGATGACCCCAGTCTCCTCATCCTTCCAAGCTTCTGGGTAAAACTGCAAGCAGACTTGCAGGTTGCTTTTCTGGATACAGGTGATTTGCTTTAGGGGATGGAAAAAAAGAAAATCGTCTCAGTTTCAGTTTTAACCTTTCTAGCGCCTGCTGCAAGTAGAAGTTAGGAAATAGGGGTACATCTCTGAACAGGGTGGAAGCGTGGCTCTAGCAGTGGCTGGGATCTTGCACATCTGCTAAAATGTGTAAAGCGTGACCCTCGTTTGCTGCCACCGAGCTCTGCTCCTGTCGGAGTGCATCGCTTCCCCCGCTGCCTGCGTGGGACCACGCTCGCCGCTCAGCCCGCGGCCATGGCCTGCCTGCAGTCCCTGCTGCCACCCCGCTCGTCCTCCCTCGCGCCGGGCTCGGTTTCAAGGGCGCCGGGCGGTCAGAGGTGTCGCGTGTGCCCGAGGCCGTGATCCCCACGGCAGCCTCCTGGCAGCACCCGTTGCTTTTGCTCGGCCTATTCCATAGTCACCTGCCAAACCGAGAATGATTTAAATTGCAAGCAAGCACGCCACCAGCCCGGAGATGGAAACAGTCCCAAGCGTTACCTTTCCATAAACGCTCATGGGCAATAGCAAGTGACCTGCAAGCGCAGAGACCTGTGGCTGGGAGCTGGAGCCAGGCTGTCTCAGGGGTTCTGCTGTTTGGAAAAGCACCTTCGCAGGACCGAAGCACAGCAAGGACAAACCCAAAAGTCAGTACTCGTGTCCAGCTGAAATGAACCCAGCAGTCACCCAGACAGCACATTAAAACGGGCTTTGACCTCGCTGTCACCAGTTCTCCAGCCTTTTGTGCTCGTGTTCAGATCCCGGGCGATGAGCCAGTACCCACAGCCAGCAGGAGCAGGCCAAAAGTAATTCATAACTGGGGACCACTAGTGAAAAAATCCAACTTCCAACTCTTCCTTAAAGAAATACTCAAAGTTCAAAAGGTGTTCAAAAATTGCTCAGAAGTCACCACCATCAGCAGGCAATGTTTCCTTTGCCAGAGACCATAGCTACACCAAAGGGTAAGAGCGAAATTGTAATGCTCACAGCGGCTCTCTCTAGCACAAAGCTGTGTGTTACACACCTTGATTATTGAATACTGCTATGAGCAAGCTGTAAATATCAGATAATTGGTTTGGGGCTACGAAAGACAACGCCCTGCAATAAATATGCTAGACTTGTATGAAGTGTCCCACTCGTCAGGATTCGCAGCT